GGCTCGATGTTACAGCCAACCTTAGGCAGCAGCAGCGTTTCAGCCTTGAACCTCTGCCTGGAAACTACTTATAACTTCAGCTTTTAAAACAAAACAAAAAAAATAGCAAAAGACAGAAAAGAAAAAAAAAAGAAACAAAAAAACACCCCACAAAACACCTTGAAACATATTGTCAATCACATGGGAAACGTTCAGTGGAATATCTGCATACTAATTACCTCTAATCGACAATATGTATTTTCTGTAGTTTACTATAGAGTTTTATTTCATCAGTAACATACAATGAAAAAGAAACTCATTTAAACCAGTCTGACCCTTAGGCGTTTAGTTTGCTGATGATAGATCTGAACTTTTAATAGGATTTAAAATAAAAAAAAAAGAAAAAGATTATATGGGGAAAGTCTTGTTAAAAATAAGTATTTCCAACAAAATGTAATATAAAATCATTTTAAAAGCTCATAGGAGAATAATTTATTGTTCGAGTTTTTAACAAGATCTTGACAAAAAAATGTTGTTTCGTTTTCGTTTTCTTTTCATGAAACTGTAATTTTTTTTCAACTTCTCAACGCGATCACGTCCCCAGCCAGGGCGAGCTAAAGCTGTGCGGTATGAGTTGTATTTAAAACAGACATTTTTCTTAAAAGCTGTATAAAAGATGTATGTTTATCAAATCAATTTTTACGAGTGGAGGCTTCACACCAGTGAAGGGAGTTTGGTAAATGGTTCGATATATTTTAAACTTGCATGTAAAGCTAAAACAAACCGTGTTGAGTGCTTTCCAATTCCGGCTACCGACTTCAAGCTATCGGAAGTTTGGCAGTAGTCTCACAATGATTTGTTTCAGTACTTTTTTTTTTTCACTTGTTTTGCTTTGGGGGATTTGGAGGTTCTTTCCTTTTTCTTTTCTTTTTTTTTCCCCCCTCCTCCTTTTTTTTCTTTTTTTTTTTTTTTTTTGTAATTTAAGTTCCTATTTTTGGTCGTCGAAACTGCACTTCAGTGAGCAGAAAAATTGCCATGCAAACTAATGGCTGTAAAAGCATAAACTGCATGTGTGGGCATCAATTACTGAGCCTCATTTTAATGAGGTGTTGTACAAAGAGTTTTAATACATTTTGTAAATAAAACTGTAAAGAAAAAAAAAAATAAAGAGCCTGCTGATCTTTTCACTGGAGGAGAAAGAGTCCCTACCCTGATGTCCCTTTGGCCAGGCAGATCTCTCTCTCTATTTGAAATGCCCCAGTTTGGGGTCCTGGAGGTGCCACCGATGCTTCACCCACAACGCTGAACTGAGGATGCTGCTGGGAAATACCGTATTTCTGTTTTGCTACCCTGCAAACAAACTAATTATTTTTTTTCCTTGATGAGTGGAGCTGGTTGATTTTTGCCAAGTCTGAAGGGTACGCTGTGGGGATGGGGGGACGAGGCAGGGGAGAGCCCCCGCGGCTGCGCTGGGGCAGGGAGTGCTATGCTGAGCCCCAGGGTGCGCAGCAGCGTGGGTAAATAAATTCCTCAAATGGTGATATAGAGATTTATTTTCCTACAGTTGCCACAGTTTCAGCAATGCCTTTTTAAAAAAAATAACTTCACCCAACATTGCAGCTAATCCCAACTCTAATTTATGGAGCTCACCCCAGCCACTGATGGGCTTTTCCAAGTCGCCACAAACTATGAACCATAGGGAGTAATCCTGGTATTAAAAAGCGAGTGTGCACCTAAATCACACCTTGGCAGGGGCAGCCCCTCCATGGGCACCCCTGGGCCAGCCAGCCTGGTGGCACCCACCAGGAGCCAGTCCTGCTGGGCTCCCTCCGGGGGACGGCAGTGATGGTGACAGGTGACAGTCCTCAGTGAGTGCCTGGTACCTTCTGGGGGCTGCACTGGGGCAGCATGAGACTTCGCACAGATGGCTGGGGGTGTGGAGGTCATCTCCTGAAAAAGAAAATTCCAACCGTGCAGGTCCCATGAAGGTAGCACTGCTGCAAAGCTGGCAGGCATGGGGTCTGAGCGACCTGTTCGGTCCCTGCTGGCCCGAGCACACCCTGGAACCCAACCAGACAAGCTGCGTGGAGCATCCTCACCACGGTGCCTCTGTGTCTGGGGAAAAACATGTGCGGGGTCCTGGCTGTGGGGCTGCTGCCAGCCCCTGGTGCGTGTTGTACATGAGCACAGCGGTGGGACATGGGCTGAGCCCACCTGTGTGTCTTCAGCCACAGCAAAATGCGCTCAGGAATAAGCAAGGGCTAGGTAAAAGCACTAAACAGCAGTTATTTGACCCTAAACCATCCTACAAGGCTGAAGGTTTCAGGTTGTTTTGGGGGTGAAAGAGCACTGTGCTCCACACCAGGACACGCAAGTCCCTCACCTTGGCCTTGGGGCACCCATGCTGAAATCAGCTGATTTGTATGTAAAGCGCCCACACAATGAGTCCAGGGAGGCGTGAAAAAAACGCTTCTTTCCTATTGGCTTCATTTCATAATCACCATTCAGGCCAACATGGGCAAGTTGCACTTTTCTAGAGAGCGATCTTGACCCGCTCCCCAGCACCTGATGGCCACACGATGGCCACGGGGCGAGCGGTGCTCCCATCCCCATGTACCGGCCGAAATGAGCCGCTGCGAGCAGGGTGGGATTCGCCTGCTGAGCCCCAGCACCGAGCTGGGAGGGTGTGAGGGAAACGGCGATGCTGGACTGATTGCCAGCCCTGACCTGTAGCAGCCGACGTGGTGCTGCCCGCCGGGGTCACGCCGAGCACACAGCAAATCGGGGTTCAGCTTTGCTAGTAAATACGCATCAGGCCAAACAGGGTAATTAGGGCTGGGGCAAAGAGGCAGGGGAGCTGGGACGGAGACAGCCCCACACGGGGCCGTGGCCACGAGGACGAGGTGCAGGGATGGGGCACGTTGGGCCAAAACCTGGACTTTGCAACATACACGGCAGTGAAGGCAGCAGGGCTCATGCAGCAGCCCTGGGACGCAGTGCTCTAACAGCCCCCAAGTGACTGTGCCTGCACACTTTTGGGAGAAATGACACAAGGAAAAATTCAGAGTAATTCATCTGGTTTCCAGAGCCAGCAGTGGGAGCAAAAGGACCACAACAGTGTTCAAGTTCAGCCTTAAAAAAAAAAAAACAAAGCCATAGCAGCTCCTCCTCACAGCAAAGATCATATCTGACAACAAAATAAAATAAATGATAATAAGTTGCAACAAACCTCCACTGTGTTATTGACATAGTTTTTGCCTCCAAGGTTTTGTGCAAAGCACTGCAACGTTTTTTTTTTAAAAAAAAAAATAATTATTATTTATGGTTATTAAAATAATAATGTCATGGTTATTAAAATTAAATTACAAAATTTCTTTGGTGCTCATAGTCATCATCTCAATCTGGAAAATTGACTCTATTTTGCAGGCAGCAATACATAAACAAGCTCTGGATAATGATAGCTCTTTTCAATTAAACTAAAGGATTTAAGCACAGAGATAATATTTTCATGGATATTATAAATTTTAAAGTAATAATAGCTCAGAACACAATACATCTAAAACTGGTACTGGGGAGGACAGTGCCCACAGCAGCAGCTGTGCTCAGTGCCACCAGGACTGCAGGAAAGGGCCAGGCTGACATTATGCCATGGGCTAATGCTGACGGGCTCGGCTGCAGCCCCACCACCACGGTGGGACACCTCC